TCACGGTAATGATATTCAGAACACTATCTGGACAAACTATGACTCCCCCCTCGACCCCAAGATCCCCACCTCCCATGCCGTGCTTCCTTGCCAGGCCCGCCCCTCCCCTTTGTGGGTTATCCCCCATACCCATGACCTGCATTCCAATCAAACCCTCCCTCTCCCTAGAACCCCTTAAAAAATTTACAAAATTTTTTGATATAAAACCCCTCAACCCTCTAGTTTTTGCATGCCACCTCTCGGGGTTCCAAAGCCCGTCATCGAGGTGGGCCCTCAATAAAATGGAGGGCCAAACTTGCGAGAGGGGGGAGTCTCGCAATGCTAGCAGGTCGGCTTTCTTGTACGTCATTGTACATCCGAGTCCAAGGTGGAAAAGAGGGCCAGTCCAGGGTTCATAGTCCAGAGAGACCCTTCAGGGTACAGATGGATTTCATAGAGTTTCATAGAATTTCATAGAGCTGGACTCCACTGTCCTCTCACGACAGGGACAAGGTCCAATGTCCTTTCCACTCCAACGGGGCAATGATCAAGCCACCCTCTCACGCTGGCTGGTCTCACTGCAGATAGTCATACCAAGGGTGTTACTACAGCTCCTTCGCTGGAGTAGAAATGGATCCCTCAGCTCCCACATAGTCTCTCTATCCGGCTAAGGCATAGGTGAAATGAAGAATAAGGGGGAGGTCCCACGTGATTATTCTGGAAGCAGTCCTGCGGGGGGGCTGGGGGGAGGGGGACAGAAGGCGAGCAATATCCCCAGAGGAGGATAACAACATCACCTCCTCCGCCATGTAGTTAATCTTTGCCACCATCATGCTGTCATATCTCGGCTATGGTCATCCGCTGCTACTGCCTCGAATCCGCCGCCTCCAGTGGCGGGGGAAGGGGGGCCATCATCCAACATCCCAGCCACCCACCTCCTGGCTCCATTGTCTCCGTCACTCCTTCTCCTTCACATGGGAGAGGGAGAAGCCTCCACAACCCGAATGTCAGGGAGATCAGCCCGAATATCAGGGGGAGCAGTTTCAAAACAAACTAACTCCCCGACTGCTGCCAATATTATTCGTTAATCTGGTTAGCTAGAGTTTGTAACGCATTATTTATGCAAGCTTGGGGTACAATGTATGTAGCAGCCAGAATAAATGAGAAAAACTCTTGTAGACAATAAAATGGTTTAAAATTGATAAATATTGTCTCCAAGTCCTTATCACAAAATTTATTCAGTAAAATTACATTTTACCCCATCGATTGTTGATATAAAAGCAGATATCCCCTCTCTTTTTTTTACTGGATGTTTCAACAAATGTTGCCCCTTCCTATTCTCTTGGATCTTATCCTGGGTGTCATCAGAACAAAGTGTGTGAAAGAAGATCTGGCACCAGAAACACAAAGTTTACTGTCTTTACGTAAGACAGCTCTTTAAATCTGAAATCCTGGGATTTGCAGGCAGTTATCATTAATCGAGTTGTTCAGCCACATTTCAATGAAGCAGAGGGCTGCTGAATTAGAAAAGTCTGTATTGTTTCTATTTAAGAGTAGCAGTTCATCTATCTTATTTACTAGTGAGCGAAGATTACTGTATTTTTCAGAATATAAGACGCACATGACTATAAGACGCACTTAAATTTAGAAGAGAAAAATAACAAAAAGTTTTTAGCTTATCTTTTTCAGGCCTTTTTTCAGATCTTTTCCCATCTTTTTTCAGCCTGTTTTCGGGCCTTTTTTCAGCCCGTTTTCAAGGCTTTTTTCAGCCCATTATTGGGGCTTTTTTCGGCCGTTTTCTGAGGGTTTTTTCAGCCTGTTTTCGGGGCTTTTTTGGCCCGTTTTGGAGGCTTTTTGGGGCCATTTTTGAGGCTTTTTCTGGCCCATTTTGGGGGCTTTTTTGGCCTGTTTTTGTAGGTTTTGGGGGCCATTTTCAAGGATTTTGTGGGCCATTTTTGAGGCTTTTTTGGCCTGTTTTTGAGGCTTTTTTGAGGCTTTTTTGGCCCATTTTTTCCGAAAAAATGGGCCCAAAAAGCCTCAAAAACAGGCTGAAAAAAGCCCTGACAACAAGCCTAAAAATGCTAAAAACCAGGCCCTAAAACCCTCAAAAACAGGCTGAAAAAGCCCCCAAAACAGGCCAAAAAAGGCTCAAAAAGGGGCCAAAAAAAGTCTGGAAAAAGGCCCGAAAACAAGACATGCTGAGGCCAAAAAAAGTCTGGAAAAAGGCCCGAAAACAGGACATGTGGAGGCCAAAAAAATGGCTGGCAGGTGGGCAGGGCTTCAGCAATATTCGGTCTATAAAACACACAGACATTTTTGCCCCCTTTTGGGAGACCAAAAAGTGTGTCTTATAGTCCGAAAAATATGGTAGTTAAGTGCAGAGAGGTGAAGGGAAATTTGCTGATCCAACGCTTTCTGAACCTTTGTAATATCCCTCCTCTTTTGCCTCTCTTCCTTCTCCTTTTGTTTCTTTTTCTGCTTCTTCGTTTCTGCTGGGCTAGAAGAGATAACTGCCCTTCCGTCAGTCAGAATTTCCACCACATTTGAAAAGAAGGAAGGAATAGTCCACAAAAGCTGTTTGTTATGTAAAGACCATTCTTTGATATTCAAAAGTTCAATTCTAGAATTTGAAATTCTTAAAGAGTAGAGAAAATAATGAAAAACATCAAAACTACAAAAGAGCATTTCACTGAGGCTGCTGTCAGCGCCATCATCTTGAAGCAATTCTACTAGGGAAAAGCTATGAAAACTGACAAATTAATTGTGCACTGATTGTACTGAACTATATATAAAGTAAATGTTATCCCTGGGACATATATGATAACATTACATTAAGACTGTTTTCAGCAATATCCTCTATATCTACAATATATGCATTGTTGTCATTGCTTGTGATCTGGAATAAAGTTAGTAGCTGAGCTAAAAGACAGATAGAAAACACAGTTGGGAAAAAAAGTCATTCAGCCAGAGTCAGGCAGATGCAATTATCTTGGTTCTTATTAATCTAATCAGGACTGAACTTGTAGCTGCAATAATGTTATTTGACCACTTATAGCAATGAGGCTCAAATGCTGCGGACAGCAGCAAACAGTTTGATCCATAGCAAAACAATTAAAAAGGCATAAAAAAGCATTTCAGCCTTTCAAAGGATTTCAAAGTTACTTCTGTTTATGGTATATACAAGGAAGGTCCAAGATTGATTGGATATTCAGTTCATTTTCAGCTTTCAGAATAAACCTGCACAATTTGCCATAACAAATGGTATCAAGAATCTTAGCTTTACGTCTGATCATATCCAGTTTTGAACTGTCTTTGAATGTCTGCTAAGATGGCTCTCTCAGCTCAAGAAAAGCTTAAAATAGATTTTTAATAAAACATTCCAAGGGTAGGAAAGAAGTGAGTCAGGAATAGCTTTGATTCTAATAGATACAGGATTGAATCCCTCAATTGTACTCTTTGGGAAAACATTGTCACCTCCTGGCTGGACTATTGTAATGCTCTCTACATAGGGCTCCCCTTGAAGAGCACTCGGAGGCTCCAACTGGTCCAGAATGCGGCTGTGCGGGTGGTTATGGGCGCAACGTTGTGCTCATGTGACACCTGTGCGAGCTGCACTGGCTTCCAGTGGTCTTCCGGGTGCGATTCAACGTGCTGGTTACCACCTTTAAAGCGCTCCATGGCATAGGACCCGGGTACCTTCAAGACCGACTTCTGCCACCAATAGCCTCCCACTGGCCAGTCCGCTCCCACAGAGAGGGTCTCCTCAGAGTGCCATCAGCCAAGTTATGTCAGCTGGCAACACCCAGGGGGAGGACCTTCTCTGTGGGAGCCCCTGCCCTGTGAAATGAACTGCCCCCGGAAATGCGTAAGATCTCTGACCTCCGTGTATTTCGCTGTGGCCTCAAGACCCTGCTGTTCCGCCAGGCTGGACTATCAATGTAATGATTTTAAATTAGGTGTTTTAAATTTTGAGGGTTTTAAATTTGAGCCGAAACTATTTAATAATTTTAATTATTTTTAATTGATGTTTGTCTTTGTGCTTTTAATAGGCTGTACACCACCCTGAGTCCTCCGGGAGAAGGGCGGTATAGAAATAAAATTATTATTATTATTATTATTATTATTATTATTATTATTATTATTAGTAGTAGTAGTAGTAGTAGTAGTAGTAGTAGTATTTATCTCATTTCCATTTATAAGAATGAGACAGTTTCTGAAAGAAGAAAATCCTTTTAGAATGGTTTCTTCATACTATAGTTAGTTGTGGAATGGTAAGTATCTGCCACTGGCTACTTCTTTCCAATTAGGAGTGGTTTGTAAATGTGCTTTATTAAATAAGTTCTATAATAAAACAATAAAGATTATATGCTTATTGTCAAACATTTATTTATTAGCTTGTATGCTGTTCCAGATGAAACAGCAACATAAAAATAGTAAGAAACTCAATACTGTAATAAATACGATTTGGAGTGATGATATATTTTATATGAAATATGATGTGAACTCCATAGCCAAGCTTTAACTCCATTCTTATGCTGCCTCCTTTATAATTTTACCTCAATTAACTTGATGCAGCTGAATTGCTTTAAGACTAGTGCATAACATCTTATGCATAATATCTATTTAGTGTTTTATGGAAAATTGTGTAAATTTAAAAATAGGTTTTAACCCAACAGTGTAGATTGTTTTTTTTATTAAATTATTTCTTCCATTCATATTAATACTTCTGAGATAAGACGTGTGATTATGAAATCTACTTTGCAAATTAAAATGACTATATTATGTACAAAAGTGTTACCTTATTCAAAACAATTCTGTGGGCTTTTTACTTTATCTAAAATTAAGTTAAATATAAAAAACATAATGCCTGTTGGGTTTTCATTATTGATAACCAATAAAAAGCAAGGCAACAAGGTACTATAAGAATAAAGCTATCACTTTATGAATACGTTTCTGTAAAGATCAGACTCTTATTCAACTGTGATGTTGAACAAGATAAAAAAAAACATATTTTAACTTACCTGTTTTTCATTTTCATCCTCCAGCTTCAGTCTGTCCTCTATGCAGTTCCTGGCCTGAAGGAAGGCCTTTCTCTGCGCCCTCTCTGTTAATATCCTTACAAAGACCCCATACAAGTTTACACTGACAAAAAGGATAGCATTGGCCATAAGCTGTAAAGAGAAGACAAAGAAGAGAAGGGACAAAAAAGATATGTTATAATATGGGCATTTATATACATCACCATGTCACGGTATTTCTATCTAAAACCCTGCTAATTTTATTTCATTATTTTGATATTTAAACATTGTTTGCTATTCTCAACTTTTGTTCAGTCATTAGGTTTTCCAACTGGCAGGAGTCACGGGTTTTACAGATCTGCCACCACAAATCCTTTTAATTGTAAATGCTGGCTATTGAATCTGGTGGCACAACATATGCTATATCACTGGATTACAGACATTCTCCTTTGGGGTGGCAGTGGCCACAACAGAAAAAAAATGAAAGTCTACGTCACCACCAAATCCAAAAGATACTTGGAGCAAAGATTCTGCAAAAAAACTATATAGTATAAATCATTATTTTCATTCAATTGAAGATTCTATCTTCTATAAACTACTAAAACTCTCACCAAGTGAAATGGTGCATCATAGAGCAACAATTTTCTAATCAAAATACTTCAAATGGGCTAACTTATGGAACGTATCTACTTTCTATAATTAAAGAACAAGGTGATCAAAACATTCTGAGCATTCTCATCTATTACTTTAATACTATTAATTATTAAGTAGCTCCTGAATTCAACATTACTGATCCATCAAATCAAAAGCAAAAACAAGGAAAAGACAAGATAATCATATATATATATATATATCTGCTTATAAATTACAGTAAATATTTCCTTAAAAGATGCATCTCTTTTAAGTAGATATCAAAGGAAATTTTTCCCATATAGCTTTCAAATCTGGTCACAGACTTTTATATGTATCTTTATATTTTTTATTCAAATCAAATTATACAAGAACAAAGATAAAGATGTATGTATTTTTTAAATTTCTTTGAATCACACAATCATAGGGCTGGAAGGGACCTTGGAGGTCTTCAAATTCAATCCCTTATCTAAAACAGGAGTCTTTATACTCTCCCAAATAGTTGTCAAACTTTTCTTGAAAACCTCCAGTGATGGAGCATCCACAATTCCAGGAGGCAAGCTGTTTCACTAACTGTTCTAACCATCAGGAAATTCTTCCTTATTTCCAGGTTGGATATCCCTCTGAGTAGCTTCTGCACATTGCTTCTTGTCCTACCCTGTCCTTTGGAGATTAAATCAATCCTTTCTTCCCTTCAAGTATTTGATCATGTCACCCCCCGCCACTAGTCCTTATCTTTGTCAGACTAGACATATCTAATCCCCTTAGTCATTTATCACACAATTTAATCTCCAGACTTATCATCTTTGCTGTTCTTCTTTGCACTCTTGTTAGGATCACAACATCTGTTTTGTATCATAGTGACCAGAACTGGACACAATATTCCAAGGGCCTTACTTGGATAGAATGCAGTATACTATCATTTGCCATATATATTGGAAAACATGCTCAAAATGTTGTTGAAGACAGTAGGAGACTTTCCTTCTCTCTGGTTTTAATTCAGTTAATAATTATGTCCCTTCAAATGTATTACCTGAAAAACAACATAAGGAGGCAACTATTGCAACTATAATTAGAACAAAACAAACAATGCAAAACATAAGTTTGAAGAATATAAATATGTTTCAGAATATGAAACTAACCAATACCACAACTTTCCATTTTGGTGTTGAGCAGTAGTATAATCAGTGCTTTTGGAGTTAATGGAAATGGATGATTCCAAGAAACCCATTTCAGGGTCTGTCTGACTCTCACTTCAGCAGTATAGAACAAGATTTCCAAATTTTGGGGGAAAGCCATATGGAAGGCAGTATTAATACATAATACTGAACAGAGTTATAAGCATCCCACACATAATATTATAGGACCAATAGACACTACATTTCTTTGTTTCAGTACTCTGCCCTTGTCCAGTGGCAGAAGAAACAAGACGTATTCTTTTGCCAATTCCAAAGAAAAATTTGTGTGTAGGCAATGGGCTTTTAGGTCTAATACCCTATATGAATTACACATATTTCATGCACAGTTATCATGCAGTCTATCAGACTTAACCTGTGCCTTTAACAGAAATAACAGAATAATAGAGTTGGAAGGAGGTCTTCTAGTCCAACCCCCCTGCAAAACTAGGAGACTCTATATCATTCTGGAAAATGGTTCTCTTGTTAAATTATAAATTTGGGGATCAATATAGCCCTTCATAAATTAAAGAAAGAAAGAATTTTTACATATTTGAAATCTATAAAGTTCCTGTAATGGGAAGACAACTCTTTCAAAGTTATCTATCAAGGCTTTGAAGATAGATAAAGTACTAAAGTACTTTACTCTGAAAGTAAAGATGCTGAGGATGGAGGATTTGAATTACATCGTTCTGTATGGGAGTGAGCAATAAGAAGCAAATCATTAAATTAAGAAAGAATGATATGTTGGAGGAGGAAAATAAAGATAAGTATCATGTGTTCATGAAAAGGGCAAATGGTAAAATACAGAATGGGCATTTACAATAAAACAAAAAGAAAAGGCACTGCAGGGGATCATCTTCATCATCTTAAGAAGGTACTTGGTTGATACCTAGGATGCTGGCAGCCACCCATATCAACCAGCACCAGTCAATAGTATTTGTGATACATTTTTTAATAATAATAATAATAAAACACTCTGTAAATCTATTGGAAACCAGCTGTACTTTTTTGCAAGAAAGATAAAAGAAAAGCAATACAATAAGTATCATCCTAAAGGATACAAGTTTCAAAAAATAGTTCGGGCAGCAAAGTACAGTATCACTTTGAGCTTACCATCTTTCTTAGCAATTTTAAAATATGTAAAGAGGAGGCAGGGCATTATCTCCTAGAGGAACTCAAGAACCTAGAACATAGGCAGGGCCAGATTTAGATGAAAAGAGGCCCTAGGCTATTCCACTTATGAGGCCCTTTCACCTACAGTGAAAGTGTATTTTTAATTTTGTTAACAATTTGAATGTAGGGCCCTCTTGATCTTGAGGCCCCCTCTTGATCTTGAGGCCCTAGGCTGAAGCCTAGTTAGCCTATAGGAAAATCCGGCCCTGAACATAGGAGATAGAATATAGAATAACAGAGTTGGGAGGGACCGTGGAGGTCTTCTAGTCCAACCCCCTGCTCAAGCAGGAGACTCTATACCATCCCAGACAAATGGCTGTCCAAACACTTCTTAAAACCTCCTTTGATGGAGATGAAGGTAAATTATTCCATTGGTTGATTGCTCTCATCATTAGAATTTTCTTAGTTCTATACTGCTTCTCTCCTAGGTTAGTTTCCATCCATTGTTTCTTGTTTTGCCTTCTAATGCTTTGGAAAATAAGTTAACCCCCTCATCTTTGAAAGAACCCCTCAAATGTTGGAACACTTCTATCATGTCTCCCCTAATCCTTCTTTTCATTAGGCTAGATATATCAAATTCCTGTAACCGTTCTTCATATATTTTAGTTCCTAGCCCCCTAACCAGTGTCTCAGCTTCTTTTTTTAATATTGTGATGAAAAGAACTGGGTGCAATATTACAAGCATGTCCTGCTAAGGCTTTGTAAAATGGTACTAGAACTTCATGTGATCTTGATTCTATCCTCTATTAATGTAGCCTAGGATTGCATTGGCTTTTTTGGCTGCTGCTTGCTCATATTTAAGTTATTGTACCGACTCCAAGATTCCTCGCACAGTTACTGGTATTGAGCCAAATTTCACCTAATCTGTAGCTATACAATTTTTTTCTTGCCTAAGTGTAAAATTTTACTTTTATCTATGCTGAATTTCATTCAGATAAGGCCCAATGTTCAAGTCTTTCAATATCTTTTTGGAACTTGAGGGTTGTTGGCTATTCCTTACACCTTAGTATCATCTGCAAATTTGATGAATTTCCCTTCTATTTCTTCATCTAAAGCATTTGTGAAGATATTAAAGCATTTATGAAGATATTAAAGGTCACTGGGCCTAAAACAGAACCTTGGGATATCCCACTGTTTATTTCCCTCAGTGTTGATATAATTCCACTGAGGACTACACGTTGAGTACAATATATCAGTCAGTTACAAACACATCTGGTGATGATGTGGTCTATCTCATATTTTTCTAGCTTCCAAGAAGTTGTGATCTACTTTATCAAATATTTACTGAAATCTAAGTATATTATGTCCACATCATTTTACTAATCCACTAATTTAGTCACTTTGTCAAAGAATGAAATAATATTTGTTTGGCATGATCTGTTTTTGACAAACACATGTTAGTTACTGGTTATAACTTTGTTTGCTTCTCTATTTTTGAGAAAATTGTTTTCTCTTGTCATTTATTTAACTCTTACTAACCATCATTTTTATATGATTTTCAAAATGATATATAATAATCACACATTACTTAGTCATATAAGTAATTTATCCAAATTATCTAGATCCGCTCCAGTCCGGCTTCAGGCCTGGGCACAGCACGGAAACGGCATTGGTCGCATTGGTGGATGATCTCTGGAGGGCTCGGAAGAGGGGTTGTTCCTCTATCGTAGTCCTGTTAGATCTCTCAGTGGCTTTTGATACCATCGACCATGGTATCATGCTGCACCGGTTGGAGGGGTGGGGGGGCACCATTTTACGGTGGTTCTCCTCCTATCTCTCTGACCAGTTGCAATCAGTGTTGGCAGGAGGGCAGAGGTCAACCCCGAGGTGCCTTGTTTGTGGGGTGCCGCAGGGGTCGGTCCTCTCACCCCCCCCCATTCAACATTTATGTGAAGCCGCTGGGTGAGATCATCCATGGTTTTGGGGTGGAATTCCATCAGTACACTGATGATACTCAGCTGTACATCTCCATCCCAGGCCATCCCAATGATGCCCTTGAACTGATGTCCCGGTGCCTGGAGGCCGTCCGGGTCTGGATGGGGAGAAATAGGCTCCAACTCAACCCTTCCAAGACCGAGTAGCTGTGGCTTCCGGCGTCCCGATATAGCCAGCTGGTGCCATCACTGGCTATTGGGGGCAAGTTACTGGCCCCAACGGAGAGGGCTCGCAACT